TAGATGTATTATCAGCTAAACGGTTGTTGACAATCGGTGGATACGCTATTGGATAGCATCTAGCGTGTAGGGTACATTACAATGGTTTATGGTATGCTTGTTTACAGTCCCTGTGTTGGTACCATGCGCGTCAACAACCATTGTTCATAGTCATTGTTTCCGATTGTTGTAATGCAACGTATCCTGTTATTAACTATTGGCAGAAGGAAGCGCCGTAAACTGCTCATGAATACGTCGTTTTATGTTGGCTTACAAAGAGCGTATACGGGTGCTATTTCGTTACACTAGCCGTTTACGACTGACTATTACGGATGTCATGTACACTGACTGTAATATGCCGTGGAGCGTCGTTTACAGTTGTGGTTGTAAAGGTCTGGCGGAAATGCTCACTCTTGTCCTCCATAATTAGTTGGCATATGACTGTGCACAGCCGAGCATAATTGACCTGGGTATTGACCATATGCTTAATGTTGACCCTCGATGATACAGATGACTTACCTATTGCTGATCCTCATACGTATTAATCATCTACTCCATGGTGAGCCTCATCAAGATAGATTACCGAATTGATGATTCTCCTTATAGATATTTATTAACTACTCAATGTGGATGCTTAATATTATAAATGATATTACGCATGTGAAATTATCGGGGAAAGAATAAATGCGCATGTTTTGGAAAATTCTAGCCTAGAAAGCGTTGGTTGGGTAACAGTAAAAATTGTGGGTGTAGGTGGATGATTGGTACGGATAAAGCAAAGAATCAAAACCACACTCAAACGTACACCCATACTCAGACCCACATCCAAAATGTGCTTTTCTTATTTCGGTGAACTCTAAATATTATCAATTTATCTCTCGACACTTGGTTAACTAGTATCTGGAGTCGATAAATAAAGCTGACATTACCTGTATGATCATCTGACTGTGCCATCCCCTAATCTTTTTCTCTGGCTTATGCATTATGTATTTGTACGGACACTTTTTCAATATTCCCTTCTTATACCTCCAATGTTCGCTAATACGCTTTTTTGTGTCGACGAGTGTTCTCTAGTAAAGCATTATAGCGAACAGTGAAACATTCCTAGCCAAACGAATAAATAAGAAATTTTCGATAGAATACATTATGGCATATGCTTTTAAACGAAGCAAAGAGACCCAGCCACAGCTTGCTAGAATTTGAACAGTCTCCACACGAGAACTGATAAAACCAAAGTCATTTTGCGAAACTATCGTTGACATTGTGCAATAAAAGAGAGCATTTAGCTAACTAACAAAACCATGAGTGGCTATCCAGAACATCAAAATATTCCGTATTTGTTATTCAAAACTTCCGATGATTTTGTAAGTGTGATATAATGGTTTCGTGTACATTGTACGAAACCAATACTCGTTGTGTATATACAGTACGAAACTACCGCTAGTTCCGTAAGTGGTAAAATAGAGTCGCATACATTATACGAAACCATTGATAGTTCCATAGTATATCTAAAAGTTCCGAGTATAGAACACGAAACCATCATTAGTTCCGCATCTAGTAAAATGGTTCCGTAGAAATTTTACGGAACTATGGATGGATTTTCAATCTTTATTTTGGTTCTAGACACATTCTACGAAACCATTGATAGCTTCGTAGAACATCTAGAGGTTCCGTATGTAGAATCTGGAACCATCCTTAGTTCGGCAAGTAGTAAAATGGTTCCGTACAATTTGTACGGAACTATTGATGGATTTGCAATCTTTATTGTGGTTCCGGACACATTCTACGAAACCATTGATAGTTTCGTGGAACATCTAGAGGTTTCTTATGTAGAATCCGAAATCATCCTTAGTTCCGCATCTAGTAAAATGGTTCCGTAGAAATTTTACGGAACTATGGATGGATTTTCAATCTTTATTTTGGTTCTAGACACATTCTACGAAACCATTGATAGCTTCGTAGAACATCTAGAGGTTCCGTATGTAGAATCTGGAACCATCCTTAGTTCGGCAAGTAGTAAAATGGTTCCGTAGAAATTTTACGGAACTATTGATGGATTTTCACTCTTTATTTTGGTTCTGGACACATTCTACGAAACCATTGATAGTTTCGTGGAACATCTAGAGGTTCCGTATGTAGAATCTGGAACCATCCTTAGTTCCGCATCTAGTAAAATGGTTCCGTAGAAATTTTACGGAACTATGGATGGATTTTCAATCTTTATTTTGGTTCTAGACACATTCTACGAAACCATTGATAGTTCCGTGGAACATCTAGAGGTTCCATATGTAGAATCTGGAACCATCCTTAGTTCGGCTAGTAGTAAAATGGTTCCGTACAATTTGTACGGAACAATTGATGGTTTCGCAAAAATTATAATGGTTCTGTATACAGTATACAAAACCATTGATGTTTTCGTAAAGTATCTAAAGGTTCCGTATACGTGATACGAAACCATCGATAGTTTCGTGAATAATGCAATGGTTCGGCATATCTTTACGGAACCATGCATAGTTTCGTAACTGTTGGAAAGGTTCCGGAGACATTTTACGAAACCATTGATAGATTCGAAATGCATACAATAGTTTCGTATATTTTATACGAAATCATTAAAAGCTTCGTCATTTATCTGAAGGTTTTGTATATATGTCACAAAACCATTGGCAGTTTCGCAGAGCATCTAAAGGTTTCGTATTAGTTCTACGAAGCCATTCATAGGTGCATAAGCGCTCTAATAATTACGGAAAGGTTGTACGAAACTAGCCATGGTTTCGTAAAAGATATACCGAACCATTACATCATTTACGAAACTATGAACAGTTTCGTATAGTGCATGCCGAACCTTTTCATGTTTTACGAAACTTTTGATAGATCCGTATAAGATATACGGAACCTTTGTCTGTTCCACGAAACTATTCAGAGGTTTCGTAAAACATCAAAAGGTTCAGTATAAATTGTACGAAACTATTCATAGCTTTGTAAACGATGTAATGGTTCGGTATATCTTTTACGAAACCACGGCTGGTTTCGTGCAACATCTCCGGAACCATAAGAGCACTTATGAAACTATGAAAGGTTTCGTAGAACTGCTACGGAACCTTTAGATGCTCTACGAAACTCTCAACGGTTTCGTACGAAGCCTACGAAACCTCCGAAAGTTCAGTACACAATGCACGAAACTCTAGGAGGGTTTCGTCGTGAAACTTCGAAGCCTTCGTCGGTTTTCGGAACTTAAAAAGGTTCAGTATGAAGACTACGAAACCTTTTTCATCCCACGGAACTTAAAATGGTTTCGAAAACCATTGCGAAACCTTCAAAGTTTGGTAGAACACCTTTTTTTTTTTACAGTGTATAGATCAGAGGCTTAATGAGAAGTGATGGAAATCGAGTATTATTACCATTGTAAAACATGTATCGATTTTAGTGATTATTCACGGACTGGCGTGAGATGAGCTCTAAAATTCGAGTTTACAGGGTTTCGAGCTCACTTTTTTGACTTTTATCTATCTATCTTTTTCATCGATACCTAGTAGATACTGTCGCCTGAATTACTTTAACTAATGATCAGTGGTTGAAAAAGCAGAGAGCAAGGTCCTAGTATATCAAAAAAATAGTACTTACACATTCTTATTTCTCAATGTAAATTTTTTTACGGTTATAGTCTGTCTTGACAACTCATGCTTGTTGATTGGAACAGATGGAATTCAGATTCATTTTCATGGTTAGGAAAGTCATTTCTTCTTATTTTAAAAGTAATTTTCTTCCGTTATATTTTTATTTTTTTCTTAAGTTTGAGTGCCAATGGTACCTTTGTCAGGCAATGAAAATAGAATGACGATAAAAAGCATACATACACTCTTTCAATTATTTCTTTCATTCTCTTTTGCCATTCGAGATACTGACACGATAAGACGGCGTTACTGAAGGAGTGATTATTTTCATTAATCATCTTTTGCTGTGACAGTATCTCGACAAACAAAAGAAAAAGAAAAAAAAAAGAGAATGTGTATATGGTTTTTATCGACATTCCGCTTTTATTGTCTGACGAAGGTACCATTGACTCCCAAACTTGCAAAGAAAATAAAAATATAACGGAAGAAAATTACTTTTAAAATGATAAAAAAATGACTTTCCTAGCTATGAAAATGAATCTGAATTCCATCTGTTCTCATCAACAAGCATGAGTTGTCAAGACAGACTATAACCGTAAAGGAACCTACATTGAAGAATAAGAATGTTAAAAACATTTTTAAGATATTGCAGTCATCAGGGTAAATAAATTACACAGCAATTTAAAAGAGATGAATCTTCATCTGTGGCATCACATTAAAGAATATCTTCTCAAGATCAATCTGTTCAAGTCATCTTCAAGTACGGAACAAACTTTAGCTACAGAAAAACTTGCAACACACATCTTTCTCTTTGCTTTGCCTTGTTTTCTTCTCATTATTGCAATCGCTACGGCATTTGTTATTCGTACCACATATAAAGCTGAATACATCCCATCGTCTACAAGATTTCAACATCTGGCACAAAAATATTCGACAACATTAGATTGTCCATGTTCAAATATTGGTGTCTCTTATGAAAAATTTGTCTCAACATATGTCAGCTTTCATCAAGTATGTTCGAGTCATTTCATAACACGGTCGTGGATCGATGCAATCTTCGAACAAAACCATATTTTCTCATCCAAATATATTGAATTTCACAACACTTTAAGCTTTTTCTGGCAAACTATCGCTGATTTGTGTTCAATTAGTAATAAAACATGGATTCAAGTCACTAGCAGCTATGGTTCATTATACATTCTCAGTCCAAAAGCAGTCAGTAAGAATTATATTCTCCAACAAGCATATTCAGATCTTCGCACTCATATCGCATCTGCTCAAGCAACATTTTCTCGCAATTTATTGGCTATTCGTGGTACCATTGCTGGAAATCAGTTTGCATCTGCTTTAGGCACAAACTTTTATTTAGATTATGCAATGTCTAATTTGGAAAGCTGGAATTCATTGCGAATGGTACCACGAGTAGTCGATGGCTGTTCATGTATCAATGTCACTGGTTGTCCACGACCAGCAACTATCAACAACACACAAGGTGACACATTGATTGTTCCTGGTATGATTATCGATTGTTTGTTGGTTGATGGTACTCTTGCATCAACACTCGAATGTTATTACAATCAATCATGTTTATCTCTTTTACATGGATCATTGTCAATAAATGTCGCTCCTCTATCAAACACTGCGAATGTGCAATTTTCATCGAATTCGACTGTTCAATCACTTGTTGAACAGCTAATGATCAATGATCTGAAAATTGACATTGCTTTTGATTTATTCTACAATTACTGTCGACCATTGGTATGTTACTATTATTATTCGAACCGTTTTAATGTGATATTCATTTTGACAACAATAGCTGGAGTGTTTGCAATATTATCATCAGTATTACGATTTTGTGCTGTTGTATTTGCAAAAGCTATTTTACGTTACAAAGAGAAGATGAATGCGAAGAAAAGAGCAATTGATCGAGTCGAACGTGATCAAGAGCAGCAAAGTATGCTTCCTATTCCATATTCTATTTGATCTTCCTCCGAATATTGAAATATTCTATGTTCCTTGTAGGATTTGGTTTGGGTTTCTATCTTCGAGCTGGGGGCAAAATACTTTTCAATAAGATAGTCGAATTTAATCTCTTCGAAAGCAGAACTATGAACAACAATAAGAAGTCGGAAGAACAGTTGATCACACGAATATTTCTTCTCATTCTGTTTGGATGCATCATTGGTGTTGGATTCTACATATTTCTCTCAGAAAATCAGGAGACTGTGACGATTTATCAACCAACTGTCGAACAATATCGAAATTTGTCTCATGATCATGCAGAAACTCTACTATGTCCTTGTACACAACTATCAACTTCATATGAAACGTTCGTCAACATCACCTTCGTATTACATCAGGTGTGTTCGAGTGACTTTGTCTCATCCAAATGGCTTAATTATCTGCTGCTGTTTGACCCAACACGTGTCCCAGTTTGGACGGAAACGTATTTTTCAAGAGATTTCCGAATTTTTGGCGCCGCATATTTTCAATTTCTAGCTACATATTGTTCATTGGTTCGTCTGAGTATTGCAGATGTTCAAACTACGCTCAGAACAACAGCATTCATAAGCAACAATGTGCCATCCCCTGAACTATTTACTCAACGAACTGAGGCATTGTTTGAAACTATAAATCGTACTACACGCAACAATTTTAATCGAATGGTCATCTGGATAAATATTGTCAACAACATTAATAATTTTCTGTCTGGTAGTAATACCAATTTTGCTACAATACTTCAGAATAATCAAGTATTCGTTACAGATGCATTCTTTGAAGATGTGCCCACGATCTATAAAAAAATGATTTCCTTGACACTCTCTTGTATGTGTAGTATATTTATTGATAGTTGCCGCCTGAATCTTTTTTTATATAAGAATGAAACCAAATTTTCAAATGACGTACGTGATTTCAAAGAAATTCCTCTTGGCTGTATACCTATTGCCTGCCGGAGGCGTCTTCGGACGTCTACAGGGTCCCAATTTTGCTCGCAAAACGTGGGAGGCGTCCCTGGGCTGCCGGTAGCCAAACCGTCTCTTTTCTAGGTTAGCCACCTATTAATGGGACTTTAAACTCTATTGGCTAACGAACAAGATCAAAATCAGTGCATCAACGCACTTAAAACAACGTTCTTCGGTGGGTGGAATGTACGATCATGTTTTCGTCAAGCAAAGAAAGAGCTCCTAGTCAAACAACTCAAGAAACATCGTATTCAAGTGGCAGCTCTTAGTGAAACAGCAATGTATGACAATGGAACAACAGTCATTGGTGATTATACTTTCATCTATTCTGGACACTCAAGCACTGACAAAACTCATTCAGCTCATGGAGTAGCCGTTTGTCTCAACAAGCAAGCAACTACAGCGTGGAAGAACCTTGGTTCAATTTGGGAAGCCATCAATGAACGTATTGTTATGGTCCGTCTCGCATGCAAGCCAATCAACGTCACGGTCATCGCCGTCTATGCACCTGTAAATCCGAAAAACCAACAAATGGCCAGCACAACAACAGATCCCTTCTACACCGATCTACAAAGTACCTTAGATAAAGTGCCAAGAAGTGATATGGTTCTCATCATTGGTGACTTCAATGCACGAATTGGTATGCAACAACATACAACAAGTAGAACTGTAGTTGGTCCTCATGCTGTGGATACAATAAACAACAACGGCGAACGTCTAATCGATTTTTGTTCCCTAAACAACCTCGTCATATCCAACACATTCTTTCAACACAAGCCTATTCATCAAAAAAGTTGGATGCATCCTGGAAGCAAGGCATGGCATATGTTGGACTACACACTTGTAAACAAACAGTTTCGAACGAGTGTCGAAGATGTTCGAGTTCATCGTACTGCCGCTGGTGCAATTGGTACCGATCATCACCTTCTTCGAATCAAACTCAAATTCCACTTGAAGAGTAGAAGAAAAGTGATCAAATCTCAACCATTACGCATCGATCGAAAGAAACTCAAGAATGAACAACACAAGTTAGCTTTCCAAGCACAATTAAACAATCGTCCTCAACAACAACACACATCTACTACCTCGACAATTGACGACAAGTATAATGCTTTTGTGGATTATGTACGTCAAGCAAGTAGAGCAAGTTTTCAAGACGACCAAGCTGGTAGAAAATATAAAGAATGGTTAACGGACGAAATTCTCGACCTTGTTGATAAGAAAGCTAAAGCCTTTCTCGATTGGCAGAACTTTCGTGATACCCGTCTCGAATCAAAATATCGTACGAGTTATCGTCTACTACGAAATCTAGCAAAGAAGAAAATTGAAGAAAGACAAGTAGAATATTGGGATGAACTCAGTATGGAAATAGAAAATGCCATCAAGCAACACGATCCAGCAACAGCATACTCAATGATTCGTCGTCTAAGAGGAGGAAAGGCCAAAATTGAAAACCTTCCTATTTTCGACAAAGATGGAAATTTGCTAACCAACTCAAAAGAAAGATTAGACCGATGGAAAGACTATTTTAACGGTCTTCTAAATGTGCCATCTAATGTAGACTCGACGACAATTCAACACATTCTTCCTGTTGCAATAGACCCAATTGAACAACGACGACAAGACAAAACACCAAGTCTTAAGGAAGTTCAATGTGCAATCAAGCAAATGAAAAACGGCAAAGCACCTGGAAATGATGGAATTTCAGCAGACATCATCAAAGCGGGAGGTCTTCCGGTGGCAAAATGGCTTCATGAGATCTTTGTGGACATATGGGAAGATGAAACAATAGTTGAAGACTGGTCAATAGCAATATTGATTCGTCTCTACAAAAACAAGGGTGACAAAAGGATTTGTGACAACTATCGTGGAATATCTCTTTTGGTGGTGACAAGCAAAATCTTCTCTAGAATTATCCTCAACCGTGTTCAAGCTCTCCTTGACAAACAACTATTGGAAGAACAAGCTGGTTTTCGATCCAACCGTTCAACAATCGATCAAATATTTATTCTCAAAATGATCATGGAGAAATCTCGTAACATCAACAAGCCTCTTTTCATGGTATTCATCGACATTATGAAAGCTTATGATTCTGTCGATCGTGCTCTTCTGTGGAAAATATGTCGTCATTATGGTCTTACTGACAAAATTGTTCGAATGCTTCAGCTACTATATCAAAATACGAAAGCCCAAGTCCGAATAAATGGAGAACTCTCTGATCCTTTCAATATCAACTCAGGAGTCCAACAGGGCGGTATTCCTTCTTGCATCCTCTTCAATGTGCTACTCGACTTCATTATTCGTCGTGTCATCGAGCAAGCCAAAATCCTTGGCATAAGTGGAATTAGATTAGCATATGGTAGCAACGACTTTTTTCACCCTGACAGTGAACAATATGAAGATTTGGACATTTTACTTTTGATCTATGCTGATGACCTGGTCGTCATGTGTGAGAACAGTACCGATCTTGAACTCTTTATACGATGTTTCGAACAAATAACACAAGAATTTGGTTTGACAATGAGTGTGAAAAAGACATGCATTATGTCATTGAAACAACTAGAACACGACATTACAACAAACAAAGTCAATAGAAATCAGGAAGTCCATAATTCACACTTGAACATTACCATTCGAAACGAAACAATCGAAAGTGTCAACGAATTTCGATATCTGGGGTGCTATTTCACAAGAGATCAATCGCTAGACAAAGAACTTGAAACTCGTCTTTCCAAAGCCTCAACAGCATTCAATATGTTACGTCACGTTATATGGTGTAGAAAAACCGTCTCTATTCAAGCAAAATTAAGAATTTTTCGTGCTTGTGTCCTTCCTGTTCTCCTATATGGCAGTGAAGTGTGGTCGACAACAGCAGCTCAAGAACAACGTCTCAATACCTTCTACTTCAAATGCCTGAGAACCATAATTGGAGTAAATCTAGGTGATCGTTTGCCAAATGAACAACTACTACAACTCACTGGTCAACCACATCTAAGTGATCTTCTTATTAGAAATCGTCTTCGTTGGTTCGGCCATGTGAATCGAATGCATACAGAGGACAACGAACCTTCAATGGTCAAGAAAATAATGTTCTCTCATTTCGCTCATGCTAACAAGCCAAGAAATATGGGAACTCGAAAACGATGGCAAGATAAAATAACAGAAGATCTTGAAAAACTCAATATTCGAAATTGGCGACGCGAAACACTTGACAAAGACAAATGGCGGGGGACAATCAACAGATTCGTTCATTCAAATGATCCCTCTTCAAACATCTCCGAAGTTGTACAACAATACAAGCAAAAAGCAGACAAACGAAGAGCTGCATCAAATGTACCTCTTCCTCCCAAGATCACTGAAGTTCTAATCAAGCAAGGGTTAAAGAACACAGATGGTACATATACATGTCCGAATTCAAAGTGTACGAGAAGAACTTTCAAAGCACAAGGTATTACTAGACATGTTAAAGCTTGTGCACCAGAATGGTGTAAGAAACACAAAATTCCAACGAATTGAACATCGATATCAATACCACCCAAAAGATGAAACTCATTCACGTTTACATGCAAGACGAAGAAGCTGAATCTCTCTACCCTGTACTTCATGATGAATATCACTCAAAGCAGACTCGCAAGGTCTGAAGGTTATATTCGGAAAGCAGTACTCGGTCCTGGGACTCTACGATGATCAAACAAGAAATCAACTGAACGAACACTTTCACTTCTACGTGAACACAAACTCCTTTTCTATTTTCCTTATTTCTTTCTGTGTGTTTTTCTGTGTATTTTTGTCTTTTTGATCTTCACCCGATACCAGTGAGGTAAGGGTATAATAAACTAAACTAACTGTATACCTATTATTGGTTTCAAAAACTCCACAATCAATTGGTGGTATCAACAAGAGTACATCGATGATATTCGTGATACATATGGAATAGTTATTCATAACCAGATTCCACCAGCTATCGAATCACTCAATCTATCCATGTCAGTTGACATTGAAGGACAAACAGTTAATGACTTGTTGAACCAAATGTTCATTGAATCAATCATCAAGAGCAAACCAAGTTTTGATGTCTTATACAGTCAATCAGCTCCCAGTGTGTGTTCGTACAAGGTTGTTAAACGACGAGACTTTTTCGTTGCTCTTCTGTTATTGTTCTCTGTCTGTGGTGGACTTAATCAGGGTCTTCAATTAGTGGTACCTTTCATAATGAAAATTGTTCTATTGTGTTATAAAGAAGGAAAAAAATCGAATATCAATCAAAGACATGGTCAGTTTCATTTTGTTACTCTCATTCTGATTCATATTGTCAACATGAATGCTTTTATTGTTTACTTTAGATCAAAATAGGACTGATCATATATTCAAACGAATGTCGAAAGGTATTATTGTCTCAGTCAAGTCGTTCAATATAGTTGAATCAAAAATAAATGATGGATACTTGCAAATTATCTATACACGTGTTTATGTCATTGCATTGATAACTTGTCTCAGTTTGGTAATATTTTTCACTGGAATTGTTGAACGCACGCGCATAGAAATAGTATTGATTTCCTCATTAGCAGAGTACGAACACCTCATTGAATTCGGCTCTGCTAGTTTGGCCTGTCCATGTACACAAATCTCGATTCCTTATGCTAATTTTATCACTGAATTACGAGCGACGTTCCATCAAGAATGCTTACGGCAGATAGTGAATAATGCTGCCACAGTAGGCTCTAATTTTGAAGGCAATTTTCTCGAGAGGACGTTAAGCTTCGATTTTTGGAAATACTTATTCATCGAAGGTATTTCTAAATTATGTGCTCTGGCGAGAGACGAGGTCGAAAATAGCATTTTGAACTTTCAGTCATCACCAATGTTTGCCTATCAACTTATTCCTCAAAATTTATTCGAACAAGAAATCATGACAACAATATCTAATTTCCAAAACACAATATCAGTCGTGTTTATTCAAACAATAGATCTTATTCGCTCTGTTATTCATAATAATGCATTGATAGGTATGTTTTCAACTAATTGGAATATCACTATTGACGATTTTAATTCATCGTGCCTTATTCAACCAGTTTTCTATACTGAAATGAATACCAAATCAACGTGTATCTGCGCAATAAACCGATTTTGTCCGAAGCCAGTCACATTGATAAATTCTGCAAATGAGATTGTTTATTCGCCTGCTGGAATAGTTTTCAGCTGTTCTATTATCGAATCACTTCTACAATCGTCATTGTCTTGCTTTTACTCTGCTGAGTGTGTCAATGAGTATCGTGGCTTGGCAGGTTTGACGGGCACTGTGGAAGATTGGATTGAGCTTGGTTATAGAATGATTCTAAACAGTTCATCAACACGTTTTGAAGTAAATGATACAATTGAAAGATTAGCATATGAAATGTTCATCGAATCATGGACCCATAATATATCATATGAGATGTTTTTCAAATCATGTGCATCAAACTACTGCACCCGTACTTATCATTACCGATTCAATATTTTGGAAGTGATCATGACATTTCTGGCCGTTTCTAATGTTATTGCTAGCGCATTACAATTCATTATTCCTCGTATAGCTTTCGTGCTTAGTAAGATTGTACGCCGTGTTCGTGTTCGACCATTGCAGAGTAACTAGAAACATGAATCGTTTATTGGACCATTGCTTGCTTTATCTCCAATGAAATTTGCTTTCGCCATCTGCTTTTTAAAACCCAACATACAATAAAAGTTAAATTTTGGATCTCCAGTTTGTTGAGAGGAGAATATAGTCACTGAAGTCTCAAGGATGATGGTGAAAGTGGGTGAATATAATCAAATAAAAGCTGTTAGTCCAATCTCTTTGGGATTAAAACTATTAATGACAGGAAACCTGCTTTATTCCATATATCTTTGGAACCATTTAATCTCTAACTTTTAGTAGTCAAAATCTTTGCAAACAAGCTATTGATATATTTTCATGAAATATTAATGACCCATAATCACGATTCCTTCGTTAAATTGTCTGTCATAGTATGTGATTCTTCTCAAGTCCGGCTGTCAATGTCTGTGATCGGTTAAGTATGAGTTACTAATGAGTAGTTAATTAATGAAAAGTTAGTTAATTATTGTTCATCCTAATTAATTAATGAATTTGCTTATTAATCAGTTAACAAGTCCGTCACGGTTTGTGATGTGTTTTGCCTCTCCGTCTGTTACGGTCTGTGAGAGGGGGGGGGGGGGGGAAGTAGATACCAATATCTGCCTATATACAATTCAACACTCCTTTCAGATCCTGTCTCACGAAAGAAGGGTTCAACAAAAAACTGATCCTATTTACTTGAGCACGATTATAAATTACAGTATTAGACCATATAATCACAAGAATATGTCTGAATAATCCACACACACAAATCTCATACACATCAGCGCTCGCATCAACGTTCACATGTATACACACAGTCGCACCCACGTGCACACTATAATAATAATTTAGGTCACAGGTTGTTTTTTCTACAGCCAAGTTCACTCATACCGCACCAATTATTATAAGCAATCAAGCCGGTTCTTGTTCATTTTTTTGTTTGAGATTTTGTGAATCTGCCAAACTCCACCTCATACAAAGGCATTGACTTCAAATATGAAAATAGATACCTGAGGTAGAATGCAGCTCAATTAAATAATTAAAAGTGATAGTTCACTTGATAATATCAAAAGCAATTAGTATGCACAAATAAAAAGATAACCTTTATTCAGGGATTCCTTATGCCATATATGTTTTATAGTGAATCATTGTTAACGATATATTTGATTAATAGTTGAAAAGTGATTCTTGTATAAGCTAGTCTGCTGCTCGCTAATGTACATTCTTCCTTATTTGCATGGATCTATTTCCGACGACAATTTTGTTGTAGACGCCATCGATCAGTGGGAGTTCGCTCGATTGATCCTATTAGCATAGAGTTTGATTTCAATGGTTGACTACAATTGTAACGATGCACACGTTCGTCATAGTACGAACTTCATATGCATTTTTCCATTTCTCAGTTATTTCTTGTTTGAGCTTATTAACGAAAATCATATGCATTCCCGATTTGTTTTTGTTCGTGATTAATAAACCGAGCTTATCTTGTACTTTAGCAAGTTTTCTACAAAAAATTCTATTAAAAAGCCCATCCACAATATGCACGTTAATATTGTATTTTTCTTGCAAAGTATGTAAATTCTGGGTCAGTAGAATTGATACTTGCTTCTTTCCATTTCTTAATTATTTCTTCTTTGACCTAATCAATAGGAATTATATTCATTATCGATTTGTTTATCCTCATGATAAACAAGTAGAGATTGTCCAGGTTATTTTGATCTTCTCTTTTAATCTTTTCTTGTACTTTCATGAGATTTCGAAAATACATCTCATTAGAAGATCCTTTGATAATATGTATCTGAATGTTGTATGTCTTCTAAACGATATGAATGTTCCCATTTTTTTCAATAAAGCGGCTGATTATTTTTCGCGCCGTGTTTTCAACAAAATTTCCAATTCGAATGAAGACGTCAAAAACTGAAAATGTTTATTTGATTCCGTATGATCAAAACTCAACTCGCATTCGATAAATCAAATTCCACTCGCTCCTTCTCATTGCTCAGCTATTTCTTGTTTGATCTCATCAATGGGAATTGTATCTGTAGGCACCTTGCTTTTGTTTGTAACTAACAAGCAAAGTTCATTAGGGTTACGTATATCTTGTTTTTCAGCATAATCTTGTATTTTGATGATTTTGTTAAGAAGTCTCTAATTAGAAGATCTATCGATAATGTGAACGCAAGCATTGTATTTCTTTTGCAGAGTACTGAAATTTTGAGCCCCTCCTCCTCCATAAACCGTTAAATTCTTGTGTGACGTTCTCGAATGTTTATTGTTGAATCGAGTGAAAGATTAAAGACACGAAAACACTTCTCTGATGCACGTTTCATTGATGGATTTAATTCGATTTCATCACATATATCAGTGAGTACATCAACATCAACTACATTCAAGCCCTAAATGAAAACAAACATTTTTTTGCGTGAGATTCACTAGGGCGTGGGTGTGAGTTGAATCAAGGAGAAAAATCACATCTACATCCACAACCCACACTCCAATCCACACCGACACCCACACCCCTTCAGGAATGCGAAGTGATGTACCGAATTGGCCGTTAATTTCACAGTTGGAAATACATTCAAGAGCATTTCCAGTGTTTAAGAACAGTATGTGTACGAAGAATAGCACAAACATTTTGTATATTGTGACTTCAAATGTAACAAGGATATTTTTATAGTTTATCAGTCACCACATGGATGTGTTTATCTCGTATCACTCTTCACAATGTCAATATTTTCATTTACACGACGTTGCAACGTTATCCTTCAGTATTTGTGACGTACAACGCTACAATCTACCAAAAGCAAAGAATGACATGATTACGACTGGTCTTCGCAATAAACGATAGTACACTTTTCAAGTGTTTCATCCAACGGACTGTATTATTCTGAGAAGCAAA